ATGAAACACTCGCCGGCGGGGCCGGCGCCGCTCGGGCTGCCCGGGCTGCCCAGGGCTCACGGGGCCGCCACGGCGGGCGGGAAGAGCCGGGGCGGGCGGCGGCGGCGCCATGGAGGATGAAATGCCCAAGACCCTGTGAGTGGGGAGGGGGCGAGACCGCCTATTGTTCCCGGCTCCGCGGGGAGGGGCGGCCCGGGGTCGCCTCACGGACGGGCCCCTCAGGGCTCCGCCGCGGACCCTCAGCCGCCCGCAGTGCTGCGGGAGCCGCGGCCGCCCGGGGCTGAGGGGGAGCCCGGCTCCCGCGGTATTCCTGCCCGTTCCCCGGTGCCAGTGCTGGGCACCGCCGGCCTGCCCTCCGCTCCGGGCGTTCCCCTGGGCCTCCAGCTCACATCTGGAGGGACAGGGCTGTGTGCAAGCTGTGTGTCCCTTCCCCAGCACGTCCCAAGTCACATCTGGAGAGAAAAGGGGTCTGCAAAGGTGTGTGCCCCTTCCCAGTCCATGCCAGGTCACATCCGGAGGGAAAAGTGGTCAGGAAGGTGTGTCTCCCCTTTTCTTGGATAGAAAGGGGGTCTGGAAAGTGTGTGCCCCTCTCGTCATCCATGCCAGGTCACATCTGGAGGGAATGCGGTGTGGAAGGTGTGCCCCCTCCCTGGTACATGCCCGCTCACATCTGCAGGGTGTGTGTGCCCCCATCCCAGCCCGTGGCAGGGCATTGCCCTGGGATGATCCGAGTCCCTTCCACCCCAGGCCACTCCGTGTCATTCTGGATGATCCGTGTAGGGTTTTGTGGGTGACTGGCTGCATTTTGCCCTGGGGGCTGCCTTGGCACACAGCTGGAGCCCCACTGGCCTGCTCAGCAGCTCCAGGGAATGACCTGCCGTGAATCCCAGTGTTCAAAGCACTCCCTGAACCTGTTGCTTCCCACAGAGTGAATTAGGAATTAGGAAGCCACGTCAAGGGGAGGTTTAGGTTGGATTTTAGCAGAAGGTGCTGCAAAGCCTGACTGTTTTGCACAGCTCCTGTGTTTCCCTCCTCCCAGGCAGGTGTTACCTGGAGTAGCTTTCCCGTGTTTGGATCAGGGAAATCAGGCTCCACTCTTGCCATGCCACCCCTCGAAGCGTTGTTCTCCAGTGCAGCAGGAAGGACGGGAGGGAGGGAGGGAATCATTCCAAGGTGAGGGAATGCTGTGCCCTTGTTGTGCTGCCCCTCCCCAGGGGCTGAGTGACCACAGGACAAGACCCTGACGTGCCTCACCCCAGCTGTCCCCAGCACTGAGCGCTCCCTGCTTCCCCAATCCGCTGTTTTCCCACGTTTTGGGAGCTATTCCCGGCCTCTGCAAACACACAGTGTTGGTGTGTTTATTTGGCAAGATGTTTTCCCCCATCCCAAGGCTCCTGTGGGGCCCGGTGGCCTCGGGAATGCAAATCCCTGTCCTGGAGCACGTGCAGCTGGGGGCACAGACAGGGCACAGGTGGGGCTGGAAAGGAGCTGCAGGGACACTGAGCCTGCCTTAAAACACAGCTCAGGGCTCAGCAGCTTCCAGGCTGGCATTGCTCTCACTCCCTCCCCGTGGCTCTGGGGTCGTGCAGGGAATTGTCACCAGGCTGGGTTTGGAAGGAGCAGAAAGTGCAGCTCAGGTTAGTGGGTGTTCAGTCTGTGCTCACACCAGGGTTTCTGTGGGATTTCTGCTTCAGGAACACCCCCTGAGTGTGGATTTTGGGGTTCCCTGACTTGTGTGACCCCCAAAGCCCTCTGCACCCTGTTTTTTCCTTCCCAGACATTGCTGCAAATCCTTGGTTTTGCCTTTTCCACCTCACCTGTGTCAGTGAGGAGCAAATGCAGGAAGTGCAGCTTCCCTTTAGTGGGTGTTAAATCCGTGCTCACACGGGGATTTCTGTAGGGTTTCTGCTCCCTGGGTGTGGATTTTGGGGCTCCCCAAAGCCCTCTGCACCCTGTCCTTTCCTTCCTTAGCACATTGCAGTTATTTTTCTGGAGCAGATTGCAGACACTCCTGGAAGTAGCTCCCTGTTTTTGCCTTTTCCACCTCCCCCATGGCAGTGAGGAAACTTCTGAAGTGCAGGAATCTCACTGAGAGCCAGACAATGTCTGTAAAGGTCTGTCTGCTGATTTTAAAATCCAATCCTGCCTCCTGCCTAAAAGTTGTTTTAATAATTAGCACCGAGCTCCTGGATGAGCCATTCCTGACAAAACTCTGTCTCCTTCCCCCATAACCAAAGGCTGGAGCACAAGCAGAGCTCGCATGTGCTGCAGGTTGTTTTCTGGCAGCGCCTTTGCCCCTCGGGGGGCATGCAGGTGCACCAGGGTGCTTCCAGGGCTGGCATGTGGCCAGCATTCCCGGGTGGCAGAGGTTTCCCACCAGCATTCCTGCGCAGGAGCTGTGGCTGCGCCTCGGGGGCTGAGGTTTTTATAAAATCCCACGACTTGGGCTCAACAACACCAACAAAAACAACAAAACCAGCCACCCGAGGAGGTGACAGTCCCAGGGGGAGTGGGGGTTTGGGCTGGGGTTGTGCTGGGGAGGCTGATCCTTGCCCCAGCTGGGAGCGTGTGCGCTCGTGCACGTTGGCACTCAGGTGTTCCAGGCACATCTGGTGCTCCCTAAACCTGGGGGCTTCAAAAGGAACCAGCAAAATGTTGTGGGAAATGTGGGCAAACAGCCTGAGCTGCTGGGGCAGGGGTGTGGGAGCTGGGGTTCCTGTACTGGGAGATCAGTGTAGGGAGATGGGAGCTGGAATTGCTGTACTGGGAAATCAGTGTAGGGAGATGGGAACTGGAATTGCTGTACTGGGAGATCAGTGTAGGGATGTGGGAACTGGAGTTTCTCTACTGGGGAATCAGTTTGGAAGGTCAAATTCATGGAGCCATGGAATCCTGGAATGGTTTGGGTGGGAAGTGACGTGAAACCCATCCAGTGCCACCCCTGCCATGGGCAGGGACACCTCCCACTGTCCCAGGCTGCTCCAAGCCCTGTCCAGCCTGGCTGTGGACATTCCCAGGGATTCGGGGATGGACACAGCTCCTCTGGGAATTCCATCCCAATATCCCATCTCACCCAGCCCTCTGGCAGTGGGAAGCCATTCCCCCTTTTCCCTTGGCTCATCCCCGGTCCCGAGCCCCTCTGCAGCTCCAGCGTGTCCAACATCCGTGTCCCTGCCTGTTGTCCCTCAGGTACGTGGGGAACCTCTCCAGGGACGTGACCGAGGCTCTGATCCTGCAGCTCTTCAGCCAGATCGGACCCTGCAAGAACTGCAAGATGATCATGGATGTAAGAGCCTGAATCCTCTCATTTCCCTGCTCCTCCTCAGCTGCTGCCTCCAGGCTGTGCTCGTGGCTCTGGGAATTGCCCTGGAAACGGGGCACAGCCACCTGAAATAAATCCAGAGATGGTTTTGGCATCGTTTCTGCATGTGCCTGCTGCTGAATTTAAAGATGGGTGGACATGGAGAGGGACAGTGAGCTCATTAAATCAGGAGGGGATTGCAAACGGGGCTTTAAAAATCTTTACCATCATTCTTTACAATTCTTTACCATTCTCACCGATTCTTTACCATTCTTTGCCATCATTTTCCCTTTCTAAGGGAGAGTTGAAGGCTCTGGGAGTGTTGTTAGTGCCTGTAGGGACTGTCCAGGTGGGGCTGTTGAGGTGTCGGCAGTCAGAGCTGAGCAGAGCAGCCAGAGCCTGGCTTTGTGTCCCTAATCCTGGCTTTGTGTCCCTAATTCTGGGTTTGTGTCCCCAGTCCCGGGTTTGTGTCCCTAATCCCAGGTTTGATTCCCTAATCGCAGCTCAGTGTCCCCAGTCCCAGCTCAGTGTCCCCATGCCAGCTGCTGTCCCCATGCCAGCTGCTGTCCCCATCCCGGCTCAGTGTCCCCATCCCAGCTGCTGTCCCCAATCCTGGCTCAGTGTCCCCATCCCAGCTCAGTGTCCCCATCCCAGCTCAGTGTCCCCATCCCAGCTCAGTGTCCCCATGCCAGCTGCTGTCCCCATCCCAGCTCAGTGTCCCCATCCCAGCTCAGTGTCCCCATGCCAGCTGCTGTCCCCATGCCAGCTGCTGTCCTGTCTCAGACAGCTGGCAATGACCCCTACTGCTTCGTGGAGTTCTACGAGCACCGGCACGCGGCCGCGGCGCTGGCTGCCATGAACGGCAGGAAGATAATGGGTAAGGTAAGCTCCCTGCTGGGTGAGTCTGGGGCACAGGCTGTGCCAGGGGGAATTCCTGCTGGGAGAGGAGGGCACAGGCTGTGCCAGGGGGAATTCCTGCTGGGAGAGGAGGGCACAGGCTGCAAATGGAGGATTCTGCCTTTGGAGTGGAGATCTCAGTGGGACACAGCTCAGAACAGGAGTTCAGGGTGTTGGGAGGAGAAATTCAGGGAGTTGGGAGGAGAAATTCAGGGTGTTGGGAGGAGTTCAGGGTGTTGGGAGGAATAATTCAGGGTTTTGGAGGAGTTCAGAGGTTTGGAAGGAATAATTCAGGGTTTTGGAGGAGTTCAGGGTGTTGGGAGGAATAATTCAGGGTTTTGGAGGAGTTCAGAGGTTTGGAAGGAATAATTCAGGGTTTTGGAGGAGTTCAGAGGTTTGGGAGGAATTATTCAGGGTTTTGGAGGAGTTCGGGGCGTTGGGAGGACCTCGGAGCTGGGATGTGGGCCTGGGAGGAATCACGCGGTTCCAGAGGGGTGTTTTGGAAGGCCCCTCTGGAGATGATCCTGTGCCAAAGCTCGCTCAGAGCAGGGCACAGGGGACAGTCCAGGCAGGGTTTTGATGCCTGCTGAGAAGGAGCTACCACAGCCTGTTCCAGGCATCAAAGGAAAGATTTCCTTCATATTTTCCTTCTTTTCCTCATATTCAGGTAGAACTTGCCATGTTTCAGTCCCTGCCTGTCACTGGGCACCACTGATCAGAGTCTGTCCCCATCCTCCTCACAATCCCCCTTGTGACATTGGGAGCCATTCCCTGTGTCCTGTCCCTCCATCCCCTGTCCCAAATCCAGCTCTCCTGGAGCCCCTGCAGGCCCTGGAATGTGCTGGAAGCTCTCCCTGGGGCTTCTCCTCTCCAGGTGAGCGCCCCAGAGCAGTTAATCTAAGAACAAACCCTCTCCCTAGAAAAGTGTCTTAAACTTGAGTTTTAACCCCAGCCTTGCCCTGTAGGGTCACGTTTGAGCACTGGGGGTCTCTGAGTTTTTGGGATTTGCCAAATCTGATGTGTGGTTGCCATTTGCAGGAGGTCAAAGTGAACTGGGCCACCACCCCCAGCAGCCAGAAGAAAGACACCAGCAGTAAGTGTCACCTGTGCAAGTTGTGAAACAGAAATGCAGCACACAGAGCTCTGTGGGAATGGTTTTGATTGGAATCCTAATTGTTTATTGTGTTTGTGTTAATTAAACTTCAGGGCAAATCTGATCTTTGCCATCACACAGCGTTCACAAGGTAATTGTGTCTTCTTAAACATCAAATTGTGGATCTCCAGGGTGTACCTTGAAGCTAAATTTGGGGTTTTTTGTTTGTTTTCCATTGAATTTTTATGGAAAAATTCCATAAAATTCCCTTCCATTTCCCTGTAGCATCAGGAAGGGATTTGGTGCAAATCTGTGACTATTTGCTACCTGGGCAGTTGGCAATTAAAACCCAAAATGCCTCATTCTGTATTTTTGAGGCACACTGAGCATCTTCCTCCAGAGCATCCAGAAGGGTTCCATCATTCCCAGCAATTTCTGTGGGGAAATCCTTGGAATTTTAGGCTGGTGGGGCTGAACCCCATCAGTGCCTGAGACAGTCTGTGTCAGGCTGTTGGCTTGAGGTGGAAAACTCCTCAGGTTCAGGCCTTTTGTGCCTGTTCCTCATCAGGAAGGGATCCCCTTCCCACCCTGAGCCCTCAGTCCTCGTTCTCCCACCCCTGGCACTGTCCCAGGTGGGCTTGGAGCACCCTGGGCTGGTGGCAGGGCTGGCACTGGGTGGGTTTCAGCCCCTTCCCACCCAAACCATTGCAGGATTCCACACCACTGGTGCAGATTCCATCCCAATGCTGGCACAGGGAGAGAGAGATTTTCCTGGGCACTGGGCACATGAGGTGTAAATAGTCTCAGATTTGTGCAGTAAGTGCTGGCAGGCCTTAAAAACCTTTAAAAAGTTTGTAAAATTGGAGATATAAATGTGTGTCCTTCAGATCGCTGCCTTGTGGCACTGCCAAGCACAGGGGCTGTCAGGAGCAGCAGAATTCTGCTCTCCCTTCAGGAGCAGCAGAATTCTGCTCTCCCTGCAGCATCCAATATGGAATTTTGTGGTATTTAATACATTTTTTGGTGCTTTTTAATAATGTGTTTTGAATAACAGCTGGAGTTTTAATGAAGGGTTTTTTAAGAAGAGTTTTTTTTCCTCTGCTCAGAGGAAACCACTCTGCTCATCTTCAGCCACTAAGCCCTCCTTTCTCTTTTCCCCCAAAGACCATTTCCACGTCTTTGTGGGAGACCTCAGCCCCGAGATCACAACTGAAGACATCAAAGCTGCCTTTGCTCCCTTTGGAAGAATCTCGTAAGTCCTTTTTTGGGGCAGCTCAGCGTCCCTGTCCTGAGTGGTGACAGCTTTGTGTTGAGTTGGTGACACTGTGGCACTGCAGGGAGCACACTCTGCTCACACTTCTGCATTTTTGGGGCCAGCCCCCCTTTTTGTGGGGGAAATTCCCATTTCCCTCAAAATGAGCCTTTTTTGGGGCAGCACCACCCTGTCCTGTGGCCCCTCACGTTTATCCAGACCCTTTGGGGCAGGGAGCTGAGCTGTCCCAGCCAGGCAGGGACATTCCCAGGGAGGTGGCCCTGCCAGCCTGGCCCAATTCAATAATCTGAAATTTCAGTCTCTCCAAATTTACAGCTGCCCACAGCCCAGAAAGGGGCTAACAAATTGACCTGAGAATTAAATTCAGTTAACAAGCAACATATGCCTTTCAGTTCCTACTTTTTCATTTTTATTTTTATTTTCCATTCATTTCTATGGAACATTTGCAACAAGCGGTAGACTATGTTGGCAAATAAATGAGAATTTAGAAGTTCCCTTTGTGCTTCAGGGACGCACGGGTGGTCAAGGACATGGCCACGGGCAAGTCCAAGGGCTACGGCTTCGTCTCCTTCTTCAACAAATGGGTGAGAGATCTTTGTTTCCCTCCTCAAAAGTGGGTAAAAACCCTTATTTCCCTCTTAATAAATGGGGAAAATCCCTTCATTTCCTCCCTCAATAAATGGGTAAAATCCCTTCATTTCCCTCTTAATAAATGGGTAAAACCCCAGCCATGGGCAGGGACCCCTCCCACTGTCCCACGGTGCTCCAGGCCCCATCCTGGGACACTCCAGGGTCACTCAGGAGGGCTCTGGGCTCACTCCCATGGCCCTGTCCCACAGGAGGGGTTTGGGACACTCCAGGGTCACTCAGGAGGGCTCTGGGCTCACTCCCATGGCCCTGTCCCACAGGAGGGGTGCCAGCAGTGGGGTCAGTGGGGTTTTTGTGTCCCTCTGTCCCCTGCAGGACGCCGAGAACGCCATCCAGCAGATGGGGGGGCAGTGGCTGGGGGGCCGGCAGATCAGGACCAACTGGGCCACCAGGAAACCTCCAGCTCCCAAGAGCACCTATGAGAGTAGGTGCCCACCCTGTGCCCTGCCAGCGCCTGGGGTGGGGATCCCAGAGTTTTTGGGGTGGCAAGGACCTCAGAGCCCATCCCACCCCACCCCTGCCTTGGACAGGGACACCTTCCCCAATCCCAGGGTGCTCCCAGCCTGGTCTTGGACACCAGCAGGGGTGGAGCAGGCTCAGCTGCTCTGGGAATTCCTTCCCAACCCCTCCCCACCCTCATTCCTTCCCAAAATCCCATTTAAATCTCCCTTTCCCCAGTTTGAAGCCATTCCCTGTGTCCTGTCCCTCCATCGCGTGTCCCCAGTCCCTCTCCAGCTCTCCTGAAGCCCCTTCAGGCCCTGGAAGGGCTCTGAGGTGTCCCTGTAAAGATTTGCAGGTCGTTCCCAACAATCCTGTGCCAGCCAGGACTGGAATTCCCCGCCAGTTCCCACTTGGAAACCCCCAGTCCAATCTCTTGCAGCGAGCACCAAGCAGTTGTCCTACGACGAGGTGGTCACTCAGTCCAGCCCCAGCAACTGCACCGTGTACTGCGGGGGGGTCACCTCGGGCCTCACAGGTACGTGTGGCCCCGCCCCCGCCAGCTGTGCCCGTGCCAGCGCGGGTGCCTCAGCGGCTGTCTGTCTGTCTTCTGTCTGTCCTTCCTGCTCCAGAGCAGCTGATGCGCCAGACCTTCTCCCCCTTCGGGCAGATCATGGAGATCCGGGTGTTCCCGGACAAAGGCTACTCCTTCGTCAGGTGGGGGAGTGGGGGGGTCCCAAATGGGAGCAGGATTGGGGGAATGGGGGGGTCCTGGGGGGAGTGGGATTGGGAGGGATGGAGGCGTCCCGGGGGGGAGGCGGATTGGGGGGGGTCCCAATAAATATTCCAATAAATATTCCCAATCAATATCTCAGTCAGTATCCCAATCAATATCCCAATCAATCAATGTCCTAATCCATACCCCAATCCATACCCCAATCCATACCCCAATCCATACCCCAATCCATATCCCAATCAATACCCCAATCCATACCCCAATCCATATCCCAATCCATACCCCAATCCATAATCAATCAATATCCCAAGCCGTGTCCCCTCGGCGCAGGTTCAGTTCCCATGAGAGCGCTGCCCACGCCATCGTCTCCGTCAACGGCACCACCATCGAGGGCCACGTGGTCAAGTGCTACTGGGGCAAGGAGACCCCCGACATGGCCAGCCCTGTGCAGCAGGTCAGCGGCTCCGGTGCTCATTAACCACCCTGTTAATTGGCTGGGAGCTGGCAGTGACAGGGAGCAGTGGGTGGATGAGGGATGGATGGATGGATGGATGGATGGATGGATGGATGGATGGATGGATGGATGGATGGATGGATGGATGGATGGATGGATGGATGGATGGATGGATGGATGGATGGATGGATGGATGGATGGGATGGATCCATGGATGGATGGCGGATCCATGGATGGATGGATCCATGGATCCATGGATCCATCCATCCATGGATCCGCCATCCATCCATGGATCCATCCATCCATGGATCCGCCATCCATCCATGGATCCATCCATCCATGGATCCGCCATCCATCCATGGATCCATCCATCCATGGATCCGCCATCCATCCATGGATCCATCCATCCATGGATCCATGGATCCATGGATGGATGGTGGATCCATGGATGGTGGGTTGGTGGATCCATGGATGGATGGATCCATGGATGGATGGCGGATCCATGGAATGGATGGTGGATCCATAGATGGATAGATGGTGGATTCATGGATGGATGGATGGTGGATCCATGGATGGCGGGCTGGTGGATCCATGGATGGATGGATCCATGGATGGATGGCGGATCCATGGATGGATGGATGGTGGCTCCATGGATGGATGGATGGTGGATCCGTAGATGGATGGATGGTGGATTCATGGATGGATGGATGGTGGATCCATGGATGGCGGGCTGGTGGATCCATGGATGGATGGATCCATGGATGGATGGCGGATCCCTGGCTGCGCTCCGCCGCTGCTGATGTGCCGTGTGTCCGCAGGGCCAGCTGAGCTACCCGCCGGCCTACGGGCAGTGGGCTCAGTGGTACGGCGGCGCCCAGCTGGGCCAGTACGTGCCCAACGGCTGGCAGGTGCCCACCTACGGCGTGTACGGCCAGGCCTGGAGCCAGCAGGGCTTTGGGTGAGTGCTGAGCGCCTGAGAGCAGCCGTGGTCCTGTGGGAGGGGAGCGTGGGGACATCCCGGGGACGTGGGGACATCCCAGGGATGGGGGACATCCCGGGGACATGGGACATCCCAGTGAGGTGGGACATCCCAGGGACGGGGGACATCCCAGGGATGGGGGACATCCCGGGGACATGGGACTTCCCAGTGAGGTGGGACATCCCAGTGAGTGGGGACATCCCAGTGAGGTGGGACATCCCAGTGAGGTGGGACATCCCAGTGAGTGGGGCCATCCCAGTGAGTGGGGACATCCCAGTGAGTGGGGACATCCCAGTGAGTGACCCCCCATCACCCCAAATCCCCCAAAACCCTTCCCCACAACCTTCAGGCCTTATTTAGCAATCCCTGAAGGATATTTTAGCAATCCCTAAAGGATTTTAATTTAATTTACCAATCCCTAAGGGATATTTCACCAATCCCTGAAGGGTTTTATTTAATTTTTCACCAATCCTAAGGACATTTCACCAATCCCTAAAGGGTTTTATTTAATTTAGCAATCCCTAAAGGATAATTCACCAATCCCTAAAGAGTTTTATTTAATTTTTCTCCAATCCCTAAGGACATTTCTCCAATCCCTAAGGACATTTCTCCAGTCCCTGAGGACATTTCACCAATCTCTAAAGGACAATTCTCCAATCCCAAAGGACATTTCTCCAACCCCGATGTTTCTCTCCCCAGGCAGAGCCAGCCCCCCGCGCCGTGGCTGCCGGCCCCGTTCAGCGTGCAGGGCCAGAACGGCGCCGTGCTGCCCGCCCAGCCCGGCTTCCGCGTGGGCTTCGAGACCCCCTGAGCCCCCCGCAGGAGCCGGGCCCCGTGCAGCCCCCGACCCCCGGCTGGGGGGGTTGTTCTGGAGGTGTTTCTGGAGCACGCACTGCAGGGACTCGGCCGCCCGGCGGGGAGTCGGGCAGGAATTGCACAAACTCATCCTCGGGGGGGTTTTTTTGGGATTTTTTCCAGGGGTTTGCCCTCAGAAAAAAACTCTGGGGGGGGAAAAAAAAACAAAAACCACCCCGAAAGAAGCCAAAAGTGTGGGAATGTGGAGCTGCCTGCAGCCAGGCTCCGTTTGGAAGGAGCCTCTTGCAGGAGGTTTTTCTGCCAGATAAATCCTTCGTTTACATCCTTTTTTTGTGGATCTCAGTGTGTTTTTCAGGGTTGGGGTTTTTTGCCTTATGCTGGGGAAAAATAAAATTTAAAAATAAAATAAATTTGAAGAAAAGGGACTGGAAAGTGCCCAGCTCTCCCCACCTGAGCCAAGATTCCCACCCTGGGACAGCAAAATTCCTGTTGCTAAAACGTGACAGATCCCTCCGGGGCTTGGTTGGGTTTGTTTTTTTTTAATTTTTTACTGATTTCTACATTTTCCTGTACTGATTCTGTAAAATATTAAGAGCAAGTTGAAGAATTTTTGCACAACCGTCGGCCACTTTTGTATCTTTTCCTTATTTAAAGGTAGGACACGGAGTCTTTTGATGTGATTTGTGCCTCAGATCTTCCCTTTTTGTGTCCTTCTTTTTTTGTGGATATGAGATCTCTCTTGGAATATAAAGTTTTTAATCCATTGTGTAAAATCCAGGTGTGTTTCACAAGGGAGTGAAGGTGAGAAGAGCTCCCAAACCTGATCTGTCAGAGGCCAAAAAACGCCCTTTTTTATCCTACCTCTCGCCCAGCCTTTAAAATAAACCACAAAAAACTCACAAAAATGGAAAAAAATACAAAAAACTTTTTAAAAAAAAAAAAAGGAAAATGAAAAAACTGAGCTGCTTGTGTGCTGTGTTTTGTCACGTGGTGCTGCGTTGGGGTTGAGGGGGGCGGGTGGAGCTGCTGGGATTTGGGGGAGGGAAATGAGTGGAATTCGGGGGGAAAAGGCGAAATTTGGGGGAAAAGGGAAATTGGGGGAGTCCCGCCGCGGGGGCTGCTGGGAGTTGTAGTCCAAGCCGCTTAGCGGTTTAATCCCCTCTTTGGACTACAGCTCCCAGCAACCCCCGCGGGGCACACGTGATGCCAGCGGGCCAATAGGAGCGCGTCGGTGGCGGAAGTGGAGCCCCTCTCACGGCTCTGCCGGCGGCGGTAACGGGGCCCGGGTACCGGGGCGGACCCGGCGGCGGAGCTGACGTCACGGGCCGCGAGGGATGCTGGGAAACCCCGGGAAGCGCCGGTGAGGGGGGGATGAGGCCCCCGGGGTTGGCCGTGAGAGGAGTCGCGGCCTGGGGCTGAGGGGAGAGACCCCCGGGCCTGAGGGTGGAAGGAGAGAGCCCCGGGGATTGGAGTGAGGGGAGAGAGCCCCGGGGTGAGGAGAGAGACCCCGGGGTGAGGGGAGAGAGCCCGGGTGAGGAGAGAGAGCCCGGGGTGAGGAGAGAGAGCCCCGGGTGAGGGGAGAGAGCCCGGGGTGAGGAGAGAGAGCCCGGGTGAGGGGAGAGAGCCCCGGGTGAGGGGAGAGACCCCGGGTGAGGGGAGAGACCCCGGGTGAGGAGAGAGAGCCCCCGGGTGAGGAGAGAGAGCCCGGGGTGAGGGGAGTGAGCCCGGGGTGAGGAGAGAGAGCCCGGCTTGAGGGAAGGTGGCACAGGGACTGCTGGGGTGACACAGGGCCTGTCACAGTGAGCACTGCCGTGGCACAGGGACTCTCAGGGTGTTCGCTGGGGTCACACAGGTTCTAGGTAGAGTGGCACAGAGACTGTCAGGGTGTTCACTGGGGTGACATAGGGGCTCTCAGGGTGGCACAGGGGCTCTCAGGGTGGTCACTGGGATGGCACAGGGGCTCTTAGGGTGGCACAGGGGCTGTCAGGGTGGTCACTGGGATGGCACAGGGGCTCTCAGAGTGGCACAGGGCCTGTCAGGGTGGCACAGGGCATCTCAGGGTTGTCACTGGGATGGCACAGGAGCTCTCAGGGTGGCACAGGGGCTCTCAGGGTGGTCACTGGGATGGCACAGGGGCTCTCAGAGTGGCACAGGGCCTGTCAGGGTGGCACAGGGCATCTCAGGGGGGTCACCGGGCTCAGGCTGCCGCTGTGACCCGCCACCCTCTCCGTCCCCAGCGCCATGGATCCGTGCCCGGGCAGGCCCAAAGCCCCGTCCTTCCTGTCCGACCTGGGCAAGGCCACGCTGCGGGGCATCCGCAAGTGCCCTCGCTGCGGCACCTACAACGGCACGCGGGGGCTCAGCTGCAAGAACAAGACGTGCGGCGCCGTGTTCCGGGCGGGCGCGCGCCGGGCGCCGGGCGCCGACGCCGTGCGGCTGCTGAGCGGCGCCCACGGGCAGCTCTACTCGGTGCGCCAGCGCCAGCGCCGCTGCTTCGTGCAGCTGGGCGTGTCGCAGACGGCCATCCAGACCCCCGAGGGCACCCTGATCACCCAGCTGAGCTCGGGCCGCTGCCACGCGCCCGCCTGCGCCGGCGCCGCGGCCGACGAGCAGTGCCAGCACCTGAAGCTGGCGCTGGGCTGCCAGGCCGAGGCCACGCCGCTGCCGCTCAAGAGCTCGGTGCTGGGCGCCGTGCAGGCGCCCGCCGAGGCCAAGCAGAGCCTGTGGGAGCTGGCCACCGAGCCCACGGGGCCGCTGGTGCAGAGGGTCACCAAGAGCGTGCTGGTGGTCAAGTGCAAGGCCAGCCAGAGGCACAGCCTGGGCTACCTGCACGCCAGCTTCGGGCAGCGGCGCTTCTCCTGCGCCTGCCGCGCGCCCGGGCACGGCCGCGCCAAGGGGGAGCGGGAGGAGGACGAGGAGGAGGAGGAGGAGGAGGAGGAAGAGGAGCCCCCCGCGCGCTGCATCCACTTCCTGGCCTGCATCTGCGCCTTCGCCAGCGACGAGAGCCTGGCCCAGGAGTTCTCCGAGTTCCTCGCCTCCGACGGCAGCGGTGGGAGCGGGCAGGGATTGGGGGCGCCCTAAAAACCTGCCTGGGCTCTCCCAGCAGCCGTTCCCTGGGCCCAAAATGGCTCCAGACCATTCCGTGGGTCCCAAATCCCCTGGGCTTGGGTTTGTGCTGCCCCATCCTGCTGTGAGCACGGAGATCCACAGGGAGCCGTTCCCAGTGGGCTGGGGGTCCTTTTCCAGGGCTGGGAACTCTGAACCCCTTCCTAGAGCAGACTCTGGGGTTCACTCCCCAAATCCCCTCCCACAGCAGGAATATCTGGGGTTCATTCCCCAAATCCCACATCAGGAATATCTGGGGTTCGTTCCCCCCAAATCCCACAGCAGGAATATCTGGGGTTCACCCCATTAAGGAGGTTCTGCACCCCAATAACCCCACCCAGTCCAAGGTGCAAACCACAGTGGGAGTGGGATGAAACCCCCCCTCCCCTCCAAAGGAGCCTCCTGGCAGGGTGGGGGGGTTTTGGGGTTCTGGGGGTCCCCGTGTCCCCCAGTGTCCCTGTGGCTCGTGGCTGGGCTGTGTTCAGGGACAGTCCTTGTGTCCCCAGGTCTGAAGGGGACGGTGATCCCGCAGCTGCTCCGTGGCCCCGGCTCCACGGCGCGGGCACGGGGGGCAGCTGCTGCCAAGGCCAAGAGGAGGAGGAAGGACCTGGGGCCAGGTGAGTATCCCTGGGGAGGGCTGGGGGCTCAGACCCCCCAGGGCAGCTCCGGGGGGCAGATCCAGCTGTGGAACCTCTGGAGCAGCTCCGGGGGGCAGATCCAGCTGTGGATCCCTGGTGCTGGTGTGGGGGTGGAGGCCTGGAGGAGGGAGGTGACAGTGGGTGACAGTTGGGTGGCAGTGGGTGACAATGCCTCCCTCAGGCCCACAGGTGCCCGGGCCCCTCCTGGCTCCAGACCCAGCTCATCCCAGCCCCAGGAGGAGCAGCCTGAGGAAGCTGCCCATCGTCTCTTCCTCACCTTCCTCATCCTCCTCCTCGCTGAAGAGACACGGTGAGCCCTGGGGCACTGCCAGCTCGGGGTGGGAGGGAGACAGGGAGAGAAAGAGATGGATGGCACATGGAGCAGCTCCGGGGGGCAGATCCAGCTGTGGAACCTCTGGAGCAGCTCCAGGCCTTAGGAACTCGTGGGGATCCCTGGTGCTGGTGTGGGGGTGGAGGCCTGGAGGAGGGAGGTGACAGTGGGTGACAGTTGGGTGGCAGTGGGTGACAATGCCTCCCTCAGGCCCACAGGTGCCCGGGCCCCTCCTGGCTCCAGACCCAGCTCATCCCAGCCCCAGGAGGAGCAGCCTGAGGAAGCTGCCCATCGTCTCTTCCTCACCTTCCTCATCCTCCTCCTCGCTGAAGAGACACGGTGAGCCCTGGGGCACTGCCAGCTCGGGGTGGGCACGGGTTGATGGGGATTTGGGGAAGGAATTCCTGGTTTGAGGGTGGGGAGGGGCTGGGATGGGATTCCCAGAGCAGCTGGGGCTGCCCTGGATCCCTGGCAGTGCCCAAGGCCAGGCTGGAGCCCCCTGGGACAGTGGGAGGTGTCCCATGGTGGGACTGGGTGGGCTTTGGGGGCCCTCCAACACAAACCATTCCAGGATTCCATGGGCAGGTTTAGGTGGGGTTTTGGGAAGGAATTCCTGGCTGTGAGGGTGGGGAGGGGCTGGGATGGAATTCCCAGAGCAGCTGGGATCCCTGGGAGTGCCCAAGGCCAGGTTGGACGGGGCTTGGAGCACCCTGGGACAGTAGGAGGTGTGGGAGCCATGGTGGGACCAGGTGAGCTTTGGGGTCTCCTCCAACTCCAGCCATTCCAGGATTCCATGTGCTCTGGGGGTGAGGTGTGGGGCACGGTGACATTGCAGTGTCCTTGCTCTGGGCTGGGCAGTGTCCCAGAGCTCTGGGGGTGAGGTGTGGGACACGGTGACATTGCAGTGTCCTTGCTCTGGGCTGGGCAGTGTCCCAGAGCTCTGGGGGTGATGTTTGGGGCACGGTGACATTGCAGTGTCCCTGCTCCGGGCTGGGCAGTGTCCCAGAGCTCTGGGGGTGATGTTTGGGGCACGGTGACAAGGCCAGGTTGGACGGGGCTTGGAGCACCCTGGGACAGTAGGAGGTGTGGGAGCCATGGTGGGACCAGGTGAGCTTTGGGGTCTCCTCCAACTCCAGCCATTCCAGGATTCCATGTGCTCTGGGGGTGAGGTGTGGGGCACGGTGACATTGCAGTGTCCCTGCTCCTGGCTGGGCAGTGTCCCAGAGCTCTGGGGGTGAGGTGTGGGACACGGTGACATTGCAGTGTCCCTGCTCCGGGCTGGGCAGTGTCCCAGAGCTCTGGGGGTGATGTGTGGGGCACGGTGACATTGCAGTGTCCCTGCTCCGGGCTGGGCAGTGTCCCAGAGCTCTGGGGGTGATGTCTGGGGCACGGTGATGTTCCAGTGTCCCTTCCCTGTCCCCTCAGGCTGCCCCCAGGCGCTGGATGAGTCCCAGGTGTCCCTGTCCTTCCAGGAGTGGCTGGGCAGTGTCACAGAGCGCATCCACCAGACCATGCACTACCAGTTTGAGGGTGAGAGTTTGGGACCCCCAGCCCCCTCCCAGTGACCCCAAAACAGCGACAGCCTCCAAATCCCAACCATTCCCCTGGGAACTCCCCCAGTGCTGACCCCCTGAGCCACGGGGACACTTTGGGGTGACAATTTGTGCCCCCCAGCCCCTCGCTGAGCCCGCTGTGCCCTGCAGGCCGCCCGGAGCCGCTGGTTTTCCACATCCCCCAGTCGTTCTTCGAGGCGCTCCAGCAGCGCATCTCCAGCGGCAGCGGCAAGAAGAGGCTGCCCAACTCCACCACGGGTGAGGGAAAAGGGGAAAACACCCCAAAAAAAAAGGGATTGCCCCCCCAAAAAAAAGGGAAAAGCCTGCTGGGAGCTGTGTGGGGGAAGGAGGAGGAGCACGGAGAGGATTCCGGGGTTTTTTGTGGGTGCTGGGGAGGGGGAGATGGAAAATAGGAGGGAGGAGGGGGAAAATAAAGGGGGGGAAAAATAAAGGGGAAAGATGGGGGGAAATAAAGGAGGGAAAGAGGTGGGGAAAAATAAAGGGGGGAAAATAGAGGGAGGAAAAATAAAGGGAGGGGAAAGTAAAAAAATAAAGGGAGGAAAAAGGGGGAAATAAAGGGGGATGGAAAAATAAAGGGGAAAAAATAAAGGTGGGGAAAAATAAAGGGAGGAAAATAGAGGGGGGAAAATAAAGGGGAGGAAAAGTAAAAAAATAAAGGGGGAAAAATGGGGGGGAATAAAGGGGGAAAGGGGGATGGAAAAATAAAGGGGGAAAAATAAAGGTGGGGAAAGAGGTGGGGAAAAATAAAGTGGGGAAAAAGGGTGGAAAAATAAAGGGGGGAAAAAAGGGGTGGAAAAGTAAAGGGGGGAAAGGGGGATGGCAAATTAAACGGGGGAAGGAGGTGGGGAAAAAAATAAACGGGGAAAAAAGGGGTGTAAAAATGAAGAGGGGGAAACAGAGATGGAAAAATAAAGAGGGGGAAGATAAAGGGGGAAGGGGCGGGGGGGGAAATAAAGGGGGACAAAAGGGGGGGAAGGTGGGAGATGTGGAGGTGAGACTGTAGTCAAATGTCCTGTTTCTGATGTCAAAAATGGGGGGGGGGGGGGGGGGGGAAAATAAAGGGGGACAAAAGGGGTGGAAGGAGAGGAAAAGTAAAGAGGGCTGATAAAACCAAGAGGGACAATAAAAGAGGGGGGAAGACCAAAGGGGCCGGAGCCCCCCGAGCCCCTCCCCGAGCCCTCCCCGACCCCTCCCGCAGCCTTCGTGCGCAGGGACGCGCTGCCCCTGGGCACCTTCTCCAAGTACACCTGGCACATCACCAACGTCCTGCAGGTGAAGCAGATCTTCGACACGCCCGAGGTAAGGCCGGGACCCCCCCCCGGACCCCCCCAGCCCCGCGGGGCCGGCCCTGAGCGCTGCCCGGCCCGCAGGTGCCGCTGGAGATCACCCGGAGCTTCGTGCAGAACCGCGACGGCTCCTACGAGCCCTTCCGCAGCCCCCGCGTGGAGGTGGAGAGCCTGCCCGAGGGGCTGGGCCCCCACGAGAAACAGCCCCCGCTGCGGCCCCTGGAGCTGCAGACCTTCCTCAAAGTCGGTGAGGCCCGGGGGGGCACGGGGGGAGCCCAGAACTGCCCCGGGAGGGGAAGGGTGGGACCCCAAAACAGCCCCATGAGGGGCACAGCATGACCCCAGAACAGCCCCAGGAAGGGCAGGGTGAGACCCCAAAACAGCCCCAGGAAGGGCAGGGTGGGACCCCAAAACAGCCCCAGGAAGGGCAGGGTGGGACCCCAAAACCCTCCTGGGAGGTCCCAACTCTCCATAGGACTGGGGGGACACAAACACTCCTGGGGGTGCAAGGGAGGGGACAGGGAGGTTCAGGGGTTGGTGGGGGGTTTCAGTGGATCGGCAGGGGCCCCCAGGCAGCCACGCGCCGTGCCCCCCCAGGACACACGTCCCCCACGCAGAAGGAGCCCACGCCCTTCACCATCGAGTGGATCCCCGACATCCTGCCGCGCTCCCGCCTGGGCGAGCTGCGCCTCAAGTTCCAGTACGGGCACCACGGGGGGCCCCGGCAGCCCCCCGGCCGCGGGACCCCCCCCGCAGAGCCCCCCCCGCTGCCCCTGCCCCCCCTGGGCACCATCGCCTTCCCCTGAGCCCCCCCAGAAGGGACGGGGGGCTCGGGCTGGGGGCAGCGCCTGGGAGCACCCCCAGAATAAACCGGCAGCACCCCACGGGGCTGAGCGTGTGTGGGGGGGCAGGGGGACCCCAGAACGGGGGGGGAAACATGGGGGACCCCCCAGAATGGGGAGGGAAAGGGGGGAAAACCTGGGGGACCCCCAGAATGGGGAGGGAAACCTGGGAGACCCCAAAAGTGGGAGGGGGGAGCCTGGGAGATGATCTCCCCCAGAATGGGAGGGGGGAACCTGGGAGACCCCCAAAATGGGGTGGTGGGGGTGGAGTGGGGCACTTGGGAGACCCCCAAAATGGGGGGGGGAAGGGGGCTGGGAGAGCCCCAAAAGGCTCCCAGTAGGCACCAAGGAGCTCCCAGTTGCTCCCAGTAAGCGCTCACGCGGCACCCAGTTGGCTTCGGGAGTCCCCAGGACCCCCAGTGCCCCCCAGTATCCCAGGGCTTGCCGTGCTCTGTGTTCCCAGTATCCCCAGTCCCCCCCAGTGTATTCCCAGTGCCCTCAGTATCCCCAGTATAGTCCCATTATCTCCAGTGTATTCCCAGTCCCCCAGTACATTCCCAGTACCATTCCCAGTATCCCCAGTACATTCCCAGTACATCCCCAGTACATTCCCAGTACATTCCCAGTACATTCCCAGTACATTCCCAGTACCATTCCCAGTACCATTCCCAGTATCCCCAGTACATCCCCAGTACATCCCCAGTACATTCCCAGTACATTCCCAGTACATTCCCAGTACATCCCCAGTACATTCCCAGTACATCCCCAGTACATCCCCAGTACATCCCCAGTACATTCCCAGTACCATTCCCAGTCCTCCCAGTACATTCCCATTCCCCCCCGCGCTGACCTCCCGCCGCCAGGGGGCGCTGCTGCCTCGCTCACAGCCAAGATGGCGGCGGCCGCGCGCGCGCTGCGGGTGAGGGGAGAGCGGGAACGGGGGGGAAAATACCGGGAATGGGGGAAAAACACCGGGAATGGGGGAATACCGGGAACGGGGAACAACACCGGGAACGGGGACACTGAGGGTGGGGGTGACAAGGGACACCGGGTTTGGGGACACCGGGGGCGCGCGCACTGAGCGTGGGGGGCACTGGGGGAGAGGCCAAGGGCTGTGGTGGCACTGGGGACAGGTCACAGCTGTGCGGTCACACCAGCGCTGTCCCCACTGCGGGGACACCGGCGCTGCTCCTGGGGACGCCCTGGCTGTGCCGGGACCGGGATGTCCCGTGCCAGCTGTGCCCGGCCCTGTCACTGTGCAGGTCCTTCCCCGTGCCCTCCGTGTCCCCAGCGCCACCCGGCAGCTCCACAGCAGCCCCGTGTGCCTCAAGGTGAGCCCGCGGGCACCCCGCGGCCGTGTCCCCCTGTCCCCTGTGTCCCTGTGTCCCCTGTCCCCCATCGCTCTGTCCCCCTGTCCCCGGTGTCCCTGTGTCCCCTGTCCCCCATCGCTCTGTCCCCCTGTCCCCCGTGTCCCTGTGTCCCCTGACCCTGCTGCCCCCTGTCCCTCTGTCCCCTGATGCGCTGTCCCCTGACCCCACTGTCCCCTGACTCCACTATTCCCTGTCCCCTGACCCTGCTGTCCCCTGTCCCTGTGTCCCCTGTCCCCTGTCCCCCTGTCCCCCTGTCCCTGTGTCCCCTGACCCTGCTGTCCCCTGTCCCTGTGTCCCTGTCCCCCTGTCCCTCTGTCCCCTGATGCACTATCCCCTGACCCCACTATCCCATGTCCCCTGACCCTGCTGTCCCCTGTCCCCCTGTCCCCGTGTCCCCTGTCCCCTGACCCTGCTGTCCCCTGTCCCTGTCCCCTGTCCCCTGACACTGTCCCCGCAGGCGCGGGCGGCGCGGGTGCGCGCGGGCAAGGGTGACAAGATGGTGACGTACGAGCAGGCGCACGCCCCGCAGCACATCGGGCACCGCAAGGGCTGGCTGTCCCTGCACACCGGTGAGTGACACGGGACGGGGGACCCAGTGCCACCTCTGTGTCCCCAGGGAACCTGCGTGGCGAGGCAGCGCAGCGGGCAGTGACCCAGTGCCACCCGTGTGTCACCAGTGCCACCCGTGTGTCACCAGTGCCACCTTTCTGTCCCCTCAGGGAACCTGTGTGGTGAGGCGGGTGTGGTGCAGCAGGCCATGACCCAGTGCCACCCGTGTGTCACCATTGCCACTTCTCTGTCCCCTCAGGGAACCTGTGTGGCGAGGCAGACACGGCACAGTGGGTGGTCACTCAGTGCCACCAGTGCCACCTCTGTGTCCCCAGGTAACCTGAGCGGCAGGCAGGCATGGCACAGTGAGTGGTCGGTCACTCAGTGTCACCTCTGTGTCCCCAGGTAACCTGCATGGGTGCCGTGCAGCAGGGGGTCACTCAGTGCCACCCGTGTCCCCAGGTAACCTGCGTGGCGAGGCAGGTCTGGCACAGTGAGGGGTCACTCAGTGTCACCAATGCCACCTGTGTGTCACTCAGTGCCACCTCTCTGTCCCCAGGTAACCTGCACGACAAGGCAGGTCTGGCACAGTGAGTGGTCACTCAGGGTCACCAGTGCCACCTGTGTGTCACTCAGTGCCACCTCTCTGTCCCCAGGTAACCTGCGTGGCGAGGCGGGCACGGCACAGTGAGGGGTCACTCAGTGTCCCCAATGTCACCCGTGTCCCCAGGTAACCTGCGTGGCGAGGCGGGCACGGCACAGTGAGGGGTCACTCAGTGTCCCCAATGTCACCCGTGTCCCCAGGTAACCTGCGTGGCGAGGCGGGCACGGCACAGTGAGGGGTCACTCAGTGTCCCCAATGTCACCCGTGTCCCCAGGTAACCTGCGTGGCGAGGCGGGCACGGCACAGTGAGGGGTCACTCAGTGTCCCCAATGTCACCCGTGTCCCCAGGTAACCTGCGTGGCGAGGCGGGCACGGCACAGTGAGGGGTCACTCAGTGTCCCCAATGTCACCCGTGTCCCCAGGTAACCTGCGTGGCGAGGCGGGCGCGGCGCCCCGTGCCCTGGAGGACGCGTTCCTGCGCCGGTTCCTGGCCGGGACGTTCCCGGGGCTGCTGGCGGACGAGGCGGTGCTGAAGCGGCGCGGGAACCTGCTGGTGATCTGCGCCCTGCTGGCGCGGGCACTGCCGCCCCACAAGCTCTACTTCCTGCTGGGCTACGCCGAGACCCTGCTGGGCCACTTCTACAAGTGCCCCGTGCGCCTGGAGCTGCAGACCGTGCCCGCCCGCGTGCCCTACAAGTTCATCTAGGGAGCGAGCCCAAACGGCCCCAGAAACCATAAATGTTCCTGAAAAACCTTAAATGTTCCTAAAAAACCTGTGAACGGTCCTACGGGAATGCTCTGGGATGTGCCCCACAGGTTCATCTAGGGAATAAACCCATAAATGTTCCTAAAAAGCCTATAAATGTTCCTACAGGAATGATCTGGGATGTGTCCTACACATTCATCTGGGGAGTGAGCCCCAAACGGCCCCAGAAACCATAAATGACCCTAAAAAACCTTAAATGTTCCCACAGGAATGCTCTGGGATGTGCCCCACAGGTTCATCTAGGGAATAAACCCATAAATGTTCCTAAAAAAACTATAAATGTTCCTACAGGAATGCTCTGGGATGTGAAGCACATGCTCATCTAGGGAATAAACCCATAAATGTTCCTAAAAAGCCTTAAATGTTGCTAAAAAAAAACTTAAATGTTCCTAAAAAACCTGTGAACGGTCCTACGGGAATGCTCTGGGATGTGCCCCACAGGTTCATCTAGGGAATAAACCCATAAATGTGTCCTAAAACCTGTAAATGTTCCTAAAAACCCATAAATGTTCCTACGGGAATGCTCTGGGGCATCCTCACTGTCCCCGCAGTGTCCCTGTGTCCCACGTGCTGTCCCCATGTCCCCACGGTGTCCCTGTGCCCCACGTGCTGTCCCCATGTCCCCAGCCGTGTGACATTGTGCAGCGCCCTCTCCCCCCATCCATCCATCCCAGTCCAGCCAGTGCAGGATGTGACAAAACCAGTTTAAATAGAAAGGGGGGAGGGGCGCGGGGGGGGCGTGGGGGCTCAGCCCTTCGCGGACCCCTTGTCCTTGTCCTTGTCCCTGTCCTTGTCCTTGTCCGTGTCCGTGTCCGTGTCCTTGAAGCAGGGGTTGCCCAGGCCCAGCCGTGTCCCCTGCACGGTGTCCCCCGGCGTGTCCTCCCCTGCTGGCACCTGCGGCGCGGGCCCTGAGGGGACAGCGGCACCGTGTCACTGTCCCTGCCCGGGGGGTGACACGGTGTCCCTGTCCCTGGGGAGGTGACACTGTCCCGTGTCACACTGTCCCGGTGTCCCTGTCCTTGTCCCTGTCCCCGAGGTGACACGATGCCCCTGTCCCCGTGCCCGAGGTGACACTGTCCCGGCGTCCCTGTCCCCGGGGAGGTGTCCCTGTCCTCGTGGTGTGACACTGTCCCTGTCCCTAGTATCCCTGTCCCGCTGTCCCTGTCCCGGTGTCACTGTCACGGTGTCCCTGTCCCCAGGGCTGTCCCTGTCGCGGTGTCGCTGTCCCTGTCGCGCTGTCGCGGTCCGTACCGATGTAGCTGAGCAGCACGGGCAGGAATGCCAGGCCGTGTGCCAGCCCCAGCACGGTGACGATGAGGTTGAGGCGGAAGAAGAAGATGCGCACCAGGCGCGCCTTGGCGAACGCCAGCACCGCCACCCCCGGCAGGTTGGTCATGGCCACCCCCGCCACCACCTGCGGCGACAGCGGCCACCCGCGGTGACACCGCCCGGCCGGGACAGCGGCCCGCGGTGCCAGCCCGGACCGGGAGGGTTTGGGGACCCGCGGTGTCACCCCCCGGCCCTGGAGGCCCCACGATGCCACCCCCAGCTCCAGGACAGCTTGGGGTCCCACAGCGTCACCCCCCGGCCCCAAAAGGTCCCCTGGTGTCACCCCCCGGCCCCAGGACAGTTTGGGGTCCCACACTGTCACCCCCTGGCCCAGGAGGGTTTGGGGTCCTGCAGTGTCCCCCCCGGCCCCGGAGGTCCCACGGTGCCACCCCCAGTCCCAGGACCGTTTGGGGTCCCCCGGTGTCACCCCCAGTCCCAGGAGCTCCCCCGGTGTCGCCCCCCAGCCCCAGGACAGTTTGGGGTCCCACAGTGTCACCCCCCGGCCCCAAAAGGTCCCCCAGTGTCGCCCCCCAGCCCCAGGACAGTTTGGGGTCCCACAGTGTCACCCCCCGGCCCCAAAAGGTCCCCCAGTGTCGCCCCCCAGCCCCAGGAGGTCCCGCGGTGTCCCCCGTGCCCACCTTGCTGCCCATGGTGACAGTGGCCTCCGCGGCTCGTGCCACCCGCGTGGGCTGGCGGCTGCGGGCGAAGGCGCAGGTGATGTGGGACACGAACTCCACCGAGATGCCCACGGCCTGGGGGGACACCGGGCTGGCACCCCGGGCACCGCCTGTGCCCCCAGAGCCACCCCCGTGCCC